TCTCATCTAGAGTCGGCGTATACGCCAGACTCGCCTTCACATCGTGCTGCTTGAAGCCGTTCAATGTAGGCCAGTCGATCTCTGAACGGCAGTTCAAGGGACAGCCAAAGTGTTTTTGCCAGATCTACATTATGCCTGCAGTCTGTGTGCAGGTAGTACCTGAACTACCATCGACCAGCATACTCAGCAGCTCCAACCTCGGTTCATACAGCGCTTCAAGGAGTCAAAGAATTCCTTGTGTTGGCGGCGTTCGGCGTAGCATTCCATCTGCTTCGCCTTCTCCGTCCACCATGCATTTTTAATGCGACGGAGCTCTCAAGTCAGTCGTAGTGAAAGTTTGCGAAACTGACTATTCTTCCCAAAGTCACTGGGGTCTGCCACTTGTGCAGCAAATGCTGCATTCTTCCCCGGCACCAAGGCGCCAATCGTCGCATGTTCTCATCAAACCAATCAGGCCGCTTGCAGTTTGCGCGCCCGATGGTCTCCTCGGCAGCAGCCGTCACCTGGTCGCGAATGTGGTGCCACAGGTCGCCCACTGTGGCTATGCATACTACACCACCCAAACGGGTAGCCATGGCTTTCGGCAGCATAATACGTTTCACCACAGTACCGAAGAAGAGAATGTTAAATTTACACCGATTCACGACCGGAGTGCAATACATAGATTTACGAAAATATATGTACAATTTGGTCTGCACCAATTTGTGATCAGTGCCACACTCAGCTCTACGCAATGCATGTGTCATGCGCACTTCAAGCATATCACGCTGAGGTACGATGACACTGTCGAGCAGGTGCGCATGACCACTCCGTGGGTGGGCTCAAGTTGCTATCACACGAACTCAGTGCAAACCGAGTGTTCGTGATCGTCAGGACGTAAGTGGCACACAGTGAGCAGTCTGTCACCGTTCACATTCGCTGAACCAATGCCATGCGTCCCGACAACCTCTGTTCACACCAGTGCATCACGCCCGACGCGCGCGTTGAAATCATCCAGCAGAATCAGTCGGTAGCTGCTCAGCACAGGCCGTATCACGGAGGATAGCTGAGTGTAGAAGTGATCACGCGTGTCATCAGGATAACCCATGGTCGGATCGTACGTGCTTATAAAAGCAGCCAAATTACCTCTTCCGAGTCGTAGGCGAACAGTCATCAGTCGCGCGCTGTTGCCCGTTGGTTCACGCACCAGCTGGCCATGGAGGTGATCGGATGTAGCAAATCCGACCCCATGATCCCGTGGTACTGAGGCGGCGTTGCCCACCTAGCAGAATGTGTAGCCAGCACCTGCTTCATGCAACTTACCTTGCTCACCAAGCCGGGTTTCATTGAGCGCCGCAATATCGATGTGGTAACGCACCAGTTCCATCGCGACCAGTGCAGTGCGTCGCTCTGGCCGCTCACTCGAGTTCCGGTACAGCACCCGATGCTGAGTGCTTTGCGCGCAGGCATACGATTGCATTGGTGGGCAAGCGCACGCGAGGTGATGGATGTGCTTCGGAGGTTTGCTTGAGGAACTCCACGCGGAGCATTTGGCTCAATAGCCTGACACATAAGGCACTGGGGAGCACATCCAGCTCGGGAATGTGATTGCAGAGACAGAGTGGGATCTGCTTGACGGCCTTCACACGCAGCCTTTGAGGTATTGGAACAATTCTTATATGTTTTGCGACCGTACTAGGATAAGTAACCGCGCTCACGGCCAACCGCAGGTGGGTTTTAGCGGTTTTGTACCAACTTGACCTGGGGCTGCCTGGCTTGACGTGGGCAACAGCAAAAAATTGAACTCCCGGAGGTGCCCTCCCACCGTCAGAGACAACGCGTGGAGTTCGTGATGCAGACAATCGAGCTGTGAGCTTATAACCCCTAGACCTGCTGTCTCCCAAGGTTAGGTTTTACGGGAAGTGGACCATCGACCACTTCTTAATCTCCGAAGAGGATGGACTAGGACACTGGCAGAGCGCCCACACCTGACAGGGGAACGATTCGGGCCCTCAGCCAAAGACTTCGAGTAAATGTACACCCGAAACAGCGGGTCTAGTGCATGGTCAGTTCACTGACTCATGCGGATTGGTGTTCTGGATCTTAGCAGGGAGACGGGCGTAATCGAACCTCCATCCAGCCGTCGCCACGAGAAGGCGTCCAGAACATGAGCTCATAGCACAACAGTAGCAGCAGTGGGCAGGCCATATATCAGGAACTAGCCACGACCAGCTTCAGCGCACCATAAGGTCACCCGCCCAATGGGTACATACACCCCTTAAATCTACAGGCTGCCAAAGATCCTCAAAGCTAACACACCATTTAGGCCGATTCTCTCCAAGTGCAACTCTAAGTACCACATGTTGGCACGTTGGCTGGTTGACATGCTTACACCTTTGCGACAAATGATATCAACTTAGACTGTGAAAGAGGATTTTGGTTTGATTGAATGTGTGTAGTGTATGAATTTTACTCGCAAGGTTATGTGTTCTGTGGAGGTACAATCGTCGATTACCAAAATCTCATTAAGAGAAACAGTGGAATCATTGTGCGAGTTTATCACGAATAGTAGACTTGCCAATTCCCGTGGAATATCCCACCGATTTACTGTTGTTATGTACAGAAAAGGTACATTGTTTATTCGAGAAGCAAGTATATCGACAGGTAGAGTGTATGGTTATGGAAAGTTCGCTTGGCTCGGTACAGGCTGACATCTTCATGGTTATGGTTGAATGGAGATTGAACCCTACTTAAACCAGATGTGCATGTAAAGGCGATATGTGGATGACACCTTAGTGATTGCCTCGATTGTTGAGAGTGCCCAGCCCTTTCTCAGTGTGTTCAACAACACACATCCAAACGCCCGCTTCCCCTGTGAACCAGAAGACAACAATTGTCTTGCTTTTCTGGATATATTGCTGACCAGAAGAGATGACGGCTCAGTAAAACGCTCGGTTTACTGAAAAACCACATGGTCTGGATTGAATGAGAACTTCAACAGCTTCGCACCGGTCCAATACAAGCGTTGCTTTGTCAAGACGCTGGTTACTCGAACCTGTGCCGACGGTGTGTAGTCGGAAGTGTCGTTCATCACACAGAAATTAGGGCTAATTGATATCCATTCCTTGATATCCATTCATTGGATTTTACAGTCACGCGAAGGAAAAAAAACAAGAGTATTTAATGCGCTTAAAATGCTCGTCTATTTGCAGGTACACATCAAAGATAACGTCGAGACGGCGCAACTTGAAGGATGAGTGAAGACAGCCATTCACCATACATTCAACGCTGCCAAACTCTCTTCTACTCGGACATCCAGGGACTGCAGATGCCTACAATGAAACCTACTCAGCCGGTATCCACCCCAACTCATTGCATTCACCAATTCATCTGTAGCTATGGAAGTAATCGCACTGGGAGAACAGATCGTTGTCTGAGTAAGCGGATTGGAAAGCATATCCGAAGCGGATTTCCAAGCTGATGTCACGACAAGCAACTTGACAGGGAGCGGCAGGCAAACTGCCGAAGTCATTCATCGCTAGGAACATAATCAGTACAGGTCATTAAGTTGACTGGCTCAACTTTTACAGTTGTCTACCGAAACCAAAACGCTAAGATGCTGAAGTTTGCCGAGACCGTGATCCTTAATCGGTGCCGTCCTAAGCTTCGTGTACAAAAGCAACTAATAGTAGCCCTTAAGGTTACTTGAGGTTTATGACCTTTGTCCCGACTCAAGCATCTATTGTGTTGTGTCTATCCGTTTTTTTCTGACCGATGCAAAACGATCGTTTTAGTATCCCCCGTGATCTATATATGGTGTTAGTTTGCGTGTGAACAGATCACAAGCAATAGTACATTGCTTGCCTTTCTATTGTCTTGTTGTCTTAGTGCAGGTAACGAATTTCTGCAAGCGAGAAAAGTCGAAAGATTGTGGGCAGAATCAGGTATAGAAAAACTCATTTGCAACAGGAGTACAGACGGTAGAAATCAGTTAAGCACAGAAATCACACACACAGTAGTTGCGCAGACTGGCCACTTCAGTTAGTCGCGCGTAGTCAGAGACGGTCGCATGTACTCAGTAGCAGTTACGCAGTTACAGGCTAGTGAAGAGTCACTGAGTAATATAGCACGGCTTGGCATGGTGAACTGCACGTCGGACATAGTGACACAGTGTACAACCAGACAGCCACGTGCGATCAGGCAGCAAGCATGAGGCATTGCAGACATGCATACGCGCCGGGATCGGCTGTTAACTCAGGCGCACAAACTACCACATACCCCCTTCATTGTGTCTTAGTAGAAGGTGTGAGGACTTCAAAAATCAAACAAAAGTACAAGTCCGTGCATGCTTCCATACGTCCTTACCGTTCGTTAGTTATGAATCATCTGATGTGATGTTGGCTAGAACCTAACAAATTCGACTGAGAACTAACCAACCAATTTATACTATGACAGTACTGTTTTCCAATCAATTACCCATTTTATTGCTTACGTTAAGATTATGCTATATTGCGGAAATCATGTATTCTACAACTGGATATTCATCCGTTCTGGGGGCATAAATAAATTTCTTTACATGACTGGCATCCTAAGTGAAAAGGTTGTTAGATTAGCATATTGCTTCTTCGATTTTCCACTTAAAATTGTAAGGTGGCAGAAAACCGGCTAACCTAATCATCGACAGCGTCTAAGGTAGTTTGAACGAAGCACTCTTTCTCCTTCGCAGTAGTCGTGTCGACTAGGACTTACCATACCTAGTAGTGCTTCCCGTGATTATCAGAGTTACAGCATCTGTTCATAAGTTGCTTCATGACCGTAACGTGAACCCTGGGTAACCAGCCAACAAAGTGAGTACCCAAGGACACAGCGGACAAAGCTATCAAATAAAACACGTGAAAGTCGCAGGACGGTTGTTTCCGCAGAAGTAGATATGCAGCTAGTATATGCTTAATTCGGATGCTAGCAACCGTTGTCAGGCCCATCACAAAATATAACAGTTAGCATCTACAGTACACACTTACATCAAGCGCGAAACCCAACGATTGCCCGTCGATGACAGCTGCAAACTGATCTTCTAGATCCGCAACCCTGGCCTCAGCCACTCACAGTCTGTGTGTGTTTTAAGCCATAACGGCTATATGAAATGAGAAACTGCCGTTGGTTACGATTTTTGTCCAGTATGGTAAAAGGGCGATCAGCGCATAGAGCTTGGTGTCCAGCAGCGCGCGCAAAGTCTTACGGCTGGTGCGTCACAAGTTCATAGAAGACCGCGTGCTTAGCTGTACCGGTTTAAAACTTTGTAGATATGCCCAGTTTGATGTGACGCTCCGGACCAAAAGTGTAACTTAAGGGTTCAGATTTGCAGCTCACAGTCCCTATAAGCGCATCAGTTTTAGCATAGGAAATAAGACTAATGTTGACAATGCTGTGGCCAAAATGAAGAGGTAAGGCATCAGTAGCACACCGGCACACTTACCGACTGTTCGCTACCCCACAAACGCCAGCGGTTGCGTGTGAGCTGGGTACACCGCGAGGGCAACCGCACCTACACGGATTCGAAGCAGTGACCTTCGGATTATAAGGCAAGCTTATAATCCGTTCGGCCACCGGCAAACTATAGCTTAGCTCAATGGGGTGCCGCAGAAAATGTAACGGGTCTAAGCCACTCAGCTGCCCGGTCCATCCTCCTGCACGTCACGCATTAAGAGATTGGTCCAAGCTGCGCCTTAATAAACTGACGCGGTCAACCATCCCTTTCGGATCAGCCCAGGATGTAATAGCGAACTCATCCTCCTTAGCCTACAAGCCCGTCAAGTAGGGTTTGTACATGTGGATGTAAACACATTGTAAAAATCAAAACGACTTATCAGGAGTAGACCACTGTGCATAGTTTGGGTTTCCTATAGACATCAGAATGCTGCCCCAGATAGGCATATACTTGTTATACCTTGTTACCTTTCAGATAATTAGAGACAATCCTGCAAATAGATAGTAAGAAGGGTAAAAGCGAACAGAACTCATAAACTAAACGTCAGAAACCACCTTTCAGGATCAGATCCCACACATGTTGCCGTCATCGTAGGGTCGCGGAAAGTTGGTTATCGTGCGGCAAGAAGACAGTAAGGGAGAGACGGCTTCCTGTGGCTTCCACAACGCAACCTCAAAATCCATAACCCACGGATGAAAATTTCAACGCAGATTCTACCGAGTACTCCGGCTGAGAGAGTGGCAAACGGACCACACTGGGTACTACCCAGTGACAACTACAGTGAGATGCTCTGTATCCTTAAGAATGAAGTCCAGTGGCTAAGTGACAAGCGTGTTTTGACTTGTTCTAGCGAATGTGGCAGCCGCAGCAGAAATTTAAGCGAATTGAAAATTCTCATTTAAGTTCCGAGAACCCCAGATGAATTGGTGAGCAGTGGCTTTGCTTGATTTATTTTCAGACCATTACAGAGGAGCAAAAAAAGTAAAATGGACCCATTTAGTTCACATATTACATGTGCGGGTCCGTGCCAGAGACCAGCAAACGAACTACGCCTTAGTGGGTTAATTGCGTGTTAGAGTTTTACCTAATTCAGTTGAGCTAAGCGGTTCCCGTTTTCGTTTGGCAGGGAAGCTGAAAAACCTGGACTAGCTATTTCTGCGAGCATAGGAACGGTTCAAATATTCTTCTGCAAATTGCTTTGACTATCACAAGCGTGGGATTTCGGTCTTTCGATCTGTGTCGTGCATTGGAAATTGCACGCGCAACAGATGGCCACAGTAGAACCAGAGTTCTCACAAATTAGTTGTGCATACATGGAGGGAGTGGTTAAGCCGGATTGTGATCGCCTGTGTCACTGCGGTCATGTGGTATAGGACCGGTTTGGAGCGGACTATCCGAGAGCTTTTGCGACGATAACTAGGTGATCAGTTTCAGCCAGATGCGCGATACACAATGGTACAGGTTTTGTATAATCCATGACCCAACCACACTGAGCTGTGATTTCGTTCGCGATCGACTAAACGTTCTGTGGTGGGGTCTAGGTAGCTTGTTCTACAGGAACAGGTAAATTGGTTACGCAAACAAGTGGAAGCCATGAAGGCTGAACTAACTGAAGCTAGAAGCAAAGCTGTTTCAATAGCCCCATGGCAGTTACTGAACACCGGTTATCAGAGCAACCCAAACGAATCAATCACGGCCTTTACGCGCAATCAAGAACCTCACATTGTCAAGCCCCTCGAGATCAGCGCTATGGATCGGAAACCAACGTCACGCTACCTGAAAAATATTTGGCAATGTCACTGAGCCTCCAGTGAGACGGTAAGGTTGATGGGATTTGCCAGTGAAAAGGCTAAAAAGGAAACATTTTCAGAGTTTTGTTTGGTGTAGATAGGCATCTAAGTAAACTGTAAAACATAACCAGTAGTTTATTTTATCAGTTTTCATCGAATTACCGAGATCCACAAAGGTATTTTAATGGACAACTTTTCCGCTCGCATGTATAAGAGCTTGCATTAAGTCTCCGGTTCTAGTATTACATTTTGACTTCCGAAATGTGTTTAGTAGGCCATGCACAAACATGCACACGCAGAACAAATAGGTTAACGATCATTCATGCATAGGAAACATCCGTTCATATCACGCAAATCTAACGCAAAATAGCACTACATTGCCCCGACCCAAACTTCTGTTGCTATACTTATTGAACACATTTTGAGCAGTTATACCAAATACTATGATTAGCTGCACACTAAAACACGAAGTATCATACACTTACACTAAAGGGTTCATTTTGTTTTTAGCCGATAAGCCAACTTAATTTATTTTGCAGATGATCCCGTCATTGCCTCACCTTAGTGTCGCTAACCGTACCAAATGGCTATGGTTTTGCCACGAATCGCTATAACGTGACCTTACCTCCGCGCGTCAATCATTATTTGCATGCATGCGACGAATGAAAACGTAAAAACTGACGGCGTCAACTCCCAAGATGTGTCCTTTGTTATTTTGATTTAGATGAAAGAAACAAATGCAAGAGGGTCATTCAGTCAGTGACTGAGTCATCCGGAAAATGTCTCCAGCCACTAAGTTAGTTCATCCGAAGTTCGCGTCCACGAAGATGGCATTCAGCAGTATGACCGAGCCACTTGTGTAAGTGCTTTATACAATTGTGCCAATATACAGTCTCGTCCAGCTTGGTGCGACGACAGCGCAAAGGGTACAGGAATACGGAAGACATTACCTGTCAAGGTTCGAGTTTAGCAAACTATCGCGGAAGGCACCCGAGGATTTTTTGTTAAACACCAACTAGAGTATTCTAGGAATGCTCATCCGGAGCAGCAGCAATATTGCGCATTGGTAAGCAAGGATGACCAACCAATCCCAATTTTCAGTCTGAGATGGCCAAACCTCTGCGTCCTACACTGGCACTGGCCTCAACGCAGCCTTGTGCACTGTAATTGACTGACACGTTGCTATCCCGCTGTCTCCACAGAAGGCTGCACTTCTGAAAAGTCACATGGTCTTTATTGAAACGCGAAACAACTTCCATAGGGATGTGGTCACTAGCGGTGACACAGCTACTAAGGCAGGAGAACCGATCCATCGCTTCTATGAGAGCTAAAGCCGGTGGCGTTTGGTCCACCTCTGCCACAATAATTTTCAATTTGAAGGTGAAAAGCATATGTGTGCAGCGTTACGCGTCAATTGAATGGTAAGTGCAAAGCCAGTGGGTAAGATTAGTGACGAGTTATGTCATTTGCAAACGCAAGGTTTGTCAGTTAGTCACCTGGCAAAAACTCCACTCCAGAAGGTGCGGTGAAGATAGGGTCACCGTTGGTGTTATCTAGTGAGTCAGTTCGTCGTGATATCAGTTAATTGGCATCTGTGAAGCCAACTAATGCTTGAGAAGTCTAGAAATTGGCTAGTTAGCTAAAACTGGAAGAGCGAACGTTATGCATGCCCACACTAGGACATGGCCCAAATCTAGGGACACACCAAATCTACCAGTAATTTTGAACGGATGTGCGCCATGTGTAGCTGATGACAATATGGTAAATTAGGGTAGGGGCCGCGAAGGCTTGCGTAACGTCGTTTGCAAGATCCGTCGACGAGTTCTTATCGATTCACTTGACCAACAAACCTGTTGAGGAACACAAGTAGAATGTATGTCAACGAGTTTGAGGTACTCATCAGGTGTGAGACACCGTTTGAAGGTCATCTTCTCTGGTCCCCGACGAATGTATTAATTTCAGGAAGATATCTTCGGAGGTTACTTAACAAAATTTTCCATGGTTGCCGGCAGAACATCTTACCATTCTAAGTGTTAGGGCTACAATAAAAAACACAAAGAACCTATTGTGTGCCCTGGTTGCAAGACTTCGGAGTGGCTAGATTGCAAAGCTGACTAAATGAAGGTAAGTAATCAAATACGACTTACACCAGACAGTATCCACATTGGTTGAATGTCGACACTTAAACTATGTAGACGCCCGCGTTCTCTCCGCCATGTCTAGCATTATCTTTGTCATCCACCAGATGACCAGATGGCCAGGGAAGTTTCAGTTCACTGCCAATGGATAGGTCAATTATGCAACGTGCATGTCAATAAAACTTGCTTATTCGAGCATTCAGGCTGTCGAGGTTCAACAGAAACAGAAACGGTAGTGTACAAAGGCGGGTGGGGAACGCGCGATAAGCTTGTCAAAATACGAGTTTCAGGTTCAATGTCGAACGCGGAGACATCAAGCCAAGCAAGTTTAGGCCGCTCAACAGTAGATCAAACTCATTTAGGTTCTGCGTGAAGCGCAATAACGTCTCATCGGTTAAGCCCGTAATTGCACTGTCCCACAAGTACGAGAGGTTGACAGAAGTGGTCCAGCAAATAGTGAGCAGTAAAAAGCGTCAGTAGGAACAAGCATAACAGTGAATGACACAGGCTTCTCCATCGAACTCCACTGCAAGCTAAGTCCACAATGTTAGGTGTTACACCAACAAGGTGACTTCTACAAAGACTGCCACTTCTCCGAATCGCCCAAGCATTCCCGAACCCTTAAAACTCTATGCCGTTTCCAACAATCTATCCTAAACCCCTTTTCTCCCACAAGACTTAGCAGAAAATCACGAAACAAGCTGATGTCAATAGCAACTAGGCCGTAGTTGCATCAAAATCACTTAAAAGTCAGCAGCTGCAGGTTCTACTCCCACACCCAAGAAACATGTTAGAGGAGACTCTGCAATCGTGAGTAGCAAATCGTCCGATCTCCCAATCGCTCTGGACCCGTAAACTAACGCACTGTGGTTCTCCTCGCTGTACTCTTAAACATGATGGAGGCAATCATCGCTGAGGCATTAGTCGATTAGCTAGAACTCTACATCATAGCGCCGAAGAAGCAAGGTTTCCGCCAAAAACGTTATGCACAATCAACCTACTGGTTGCATGCAGCTGTTAGACGGAAGCGGCCAACAAATGGAGAATGACCGACTTCAGTTACTCCATAGCCTTCGACCCACTGGATCACCGCAATCTACTTCGCATAGTTAAAAGCTAAGGAATTAGGGATACTGCCCATGGGTGGATCAGACATTTTCTGCAGAATCGGCAACTGCGCGTCAGAGTTCGGAGTGCGCTGTCTCATCTGATTCATGTAGCATGTGGAGTTCCACAAGGATTAGTTTGTAGCCATGTCTGTTTCTCACGTTCATTAATGAACTTACCCGTGTGATTTCCTCCGATATTTTACATTTCGCTGCTGATGTTAATATGTGACAGGCTATCGCCGACCAAGGAACTCACGATGTCCTTTAGAGAGACATGGACAGGGCGTATGAATGGTTACTGCACAATCTGCCCCCGTTTAATTCGTCTAAGTGGTCCACATTCGTCACCAGCCGAACATCACATATACACTTGGAGATATAAACATCAAGTAGTCCCCCAGAAGTGCGACCTTAGGGTATTATTCCAGGCTGATCTGGTCCGCTCAGAACAATCTGGCAAAGCGTCAAGAACTGGGAACCAAAATGAAATGCAGCTGAGGGCATTTGGGCGGTTTGATCTCTGCGTCAGTTCGCAGTTGCTTAACACGTACGTGCGGCCCCATGTGAAATACGCAATCTAGGCCTTGCAGCCCTGGCAGAAGCAAGATCTCGCAGTACTCGAGACTTCACAGTGAAGAGCCACCAGGCACATCAATGGGTTGTTTAAGGTTGTATAGCAACTTAGGCTGAGGACTCTGAGATTGTATAGCGGTCATTATCGGCGCCTACATGGCGACCTAATAATGGCATACCAGATTTTGAGGAACCCAAACCACATCAGTCGTCATCTACCGCAACGCAGTCACAACAAGAAGTTGAGGGGCCATCAGCTCAAGTTGGCCGCGCAATACTGTTGGCTATAAGGTCAACGAAACTTCGTCTCTGTCACCAGTGGAACGCCCTCCCAAAACATGTCGTTTCTGCCCTCACTTTATCTGTGTCCAAAAAACGCCTTCACGTTGAGTTAACCCACCTGCATTACGGGATATAGCTTGTGTGCATAATGTGACATAATGTGACGAGCGTTGCACAACCAGCATTATCCTACCCAATTGAGGTTGCCTCCTTTCTGTACGCTTCTGTGTGAACATTGTGGTGAGTCAACCAAGACACTGTTCACTTTATCACGATTCTTTTTAACCTTTCTGTGGTACTCATTCTGGTCATCCAAAGGGATTTGTAAGGAATTTGTTTTTTTACCCATAATACACTATTGATCCATTGTTCCATTATCGGACTGCAGTCTAGATTCGATGAGAACTTAAGATGTACACAGGTTCCAGTCAAGGGTTTAGTAAGCTGCTATGGTAACAAGCCTGGCAAACTACCGTGTTAAAAGCACACCACAATGAAGGATAGAAGTAGTTCCAGCTGAAGTATACCTCAAACAACTTCATCAGAATGCTAATTTATTATCTTCAGCATCTTGACAAAATGACTTCAGATAATGGCTGGATCAGTTTATGAGCAATAAAAGCTGCTGATACCCAGAGCACTTCCTCCCCCAGATGAATCATTTAACACAGTATGCGGCGTCGAAGGAAACTCCCACATTTCTAACCTTAGTCGCACTTTGGGAGAAGTGAATGTGCGTAATTTATGCAATACAATTGGTATTGTGCGGCTAGACTTACTTGCATACCATCCTGGTCCACTCCGTGATAGACAATGCCCAAATCCCGGCAGGCCTCCACGAACGCCTTCTCATCCGGAGAGGAAGCCTGTTGTTTAAGGGGTTAGAAAGCAGAGATCCTTGGTTTGTTGATCGACAGACTCGTTGACACAACAAAACAGTGACATTTACGATAAAGTGAGCTAGAGTTGGCTGTTGATTTTTAATGCAGAAATTGTATAAATAGAGAAAAATGATAGCGAATTCCAAACTGAACGGTGATAAGGTGCAAATGATGAAAAGTCACCTGTCATGTTGTTGGGGCACTTTAACGGTTAGTGGAAAGTATCAGACACTCAAACTCATCGGTACTCCCAGATGGTAAAACTGGATGAGGATAATCTGAGATGACAATATGTACTTAAGCGACGCATGAAGCCTGTGCGTCTCCAGTAAAACACTGTCGGTTAGAAATGAAATCGTGGATCACACGAATCGTCAACGAAAGCTTCTGAGAACCATAAGAATGTAACCAGCAAGTTTGGGGACGGCCCATAGACAAACGTTATTATAATATGGATACTTTCATCGACCACATCGGATCTACCTAAAGGTGATTTGGTTTCAGCGCAACGGTGCAGTCAAGCCGCCAAGCTTATGAAAGAAAATCGGTACTTGAATGTACAGTAGCGGATGTGGTGCTTTTGACTAGAAACAAATTTATATCGAAACGAAGAATCACCAAAGTGTATATAGTGCCTCTCTTTAAATGAAGCAACAGTTTTTCATCAGTCGTATGATTGCCCAATCGATGATGCGTCGCTATCATAGGATATGAGGCTGAAATAACCAACTGGTTGGAAGCTACAAGTTTGCAGCAACATTACAGATGTTTTAGTTCTTCAAACATTGCCCGCTATTTACAAGTGATAATTATGGTGTCACAGCATGCCTCAGAGTAGTTCACGGGCCATAACTTCCACTTCCGCCCACACAACAAGCAACACTCAGTCAACTACCCACATCGTCTCACTGTCATTCAGCGAGAGTAAAATACTTTTGGAGTGTCAGCTTCGACGACTGAGCAGCACAGTACTTGAGGTTGCTAGCAGCTACGTCAAAGTAATCAGGCAATATGGCGCAGTTAAGAATATTCGTAGCGCCGTCCTCGAGCCTCCATTTAGTAATGGACATCAGATTCGAGCTGAAGAAGTATTCAAAGTGGTCTACACTGTATCAAAGTGCGACGACAGGAGCCTCAAAAAGCGCTTGTTTGCCACCACCGAAGCCACCGCAATTACTCTACTACAGCCGGAGTTATACAAGCAGAGAACACGGGTAAAAGTTCGCATCATACCCTGGTCTTAATGAGACCGTTCACATCTGATAATGACCGCGCCCACTGATGGCCACCTTCGATCTATCAACATGTCCAAATATTGTGCGTTGTGCATGCTCGTGCGCTCCCACAAACTCTACCACATGACTAGATCAAGTGAAATGTCGATCGACTTTACTGACTCAAGTAATTGCAGTCCCAGCTTTTGCTGTTTGTCACATCTGGCTCCGTCTTCCATTATATTTGTTTGAACCAAACTTCCGAAAGAGTACCTGTTCCACTACATGGGCGGTCACTATTTACGAAGCAAGTAGGTGTCGTCAAGCAAGTAATTTAACGGTAGTGTCACCTATTTCACATTTCATATGTGATATTAACTCAACATTCCGTCCTACGTCGAACATGTTGCCTTACATTTGCTCAAGTGCGTCTGCTGTAAATGTGGTCCCAGATGAACGACCACCGATGTGTGATCCTGACGTGAGAAAAGCAGTCTAACAAGCAGTGTTGGTTGGATGCAACGAAGGTGACATGACACTTCTTCACTTCTCCGGAAAGAGTTAATAACCGGATAAAAATAGGTGCGCCAGATAAAGACCACTATAATGCCAAAACAACAATCCAAATGCACTGTGAGTTCAGTGCTTATGGGAGGATCCACAATTGTTGTGACGGGGCCTTTAGATCGGCCCTTGCCTTTTTGCCAAACATCGTATTTTTTACATTATCTGCCGTATACATCTCAGTTTTGTAAAATTAAGCTGACAGATATTTTGTTCAATCAACTTCCAAAGTCGCCGAGACCCTCTATTCCATTCCCCTTTGAATATAAAAGCGAGATATCGAGCACGATCTCGATCTACCGTCTTTTGGTAAAACATTTTGCGTCAATTGAAACGAATTCTGAAGAAAAATGTTAATGAAAGCTGTTCCGTCTTGAATAGATACAAATCCCGCAGAATTCTTTCAGTTTTTGGATTGCTGATCGATCAATCTATGACAGTGCATCCTTCTCATTTTTCCACTCATTTTTAAACTTAATACATTTACAGTTGATAATGTAAAATGCGGAAAATGCACCCATCTGGATACGTAAAGCTTATACTGACTTGAGTTAACTTGAATGCGCTATACAAACCCAGGCGGCGTTACACCGATTGAACTTCATAAACGGGTGGACAAAAGTGTGCAAAACTTGCATCTATTTCATATGGAAGGATGATTACCGTATGAAGAGCATTAATAACCGGGCGATGGTTAGATGTTAGGGATACAAATTGCACCATACTGTCGAAATTCAATTGTATCGCAGGCTGGGAAGGCTACTGACTGAAGGTGACGGACCAATATCGCCATTTTGAGTGTCACTATAACTACTCCATGTGTAAGTTACGGAGTGATGATGAAGACATCATGTCCAACGGAATGCTGTCTGCGTTCAAGCAGCAACATGAGGTGACCCAAACCTGATTGACCCAAACGACCAGTGTAGCTTGTTAGACCTTCATTATTACACTCGTACGCATTGTTCTATACGTTTTCTCAGTCAAATGCTTTCGATTTCCTCTTTAAGGAAATCATATTCCTTCATCTCTCAAGATAGTCCTTAACGCGATCAAACTGCATCCAACGGGCACAAACAAACACTCCCAAAATGAGTACCATTCGTTGAGTAACCAATCCCAACTCAGACGATAGTATAACACAGGAGTACATAGAGTGGGCTTCTATTGACTGATTTGAGATTGGTTAGTCGGGGCCACGTGTTGCACATGCCAGCACACCGAGTCTTGCGACTTCCATTGGTTACGCGCCGGGGGTGCAGTTGAAAGAAGGGGAAGTCGAGAGAAATGAGAACCTTCACATCGAAGTTGGAGTCGATTGGTGCATCTCGACTGCTTGGCTGGGGTCCTAAGGACGATGAACACGTTTGGTTGGACACACTTGCTGACATGGCGAATAGCCAGTCCCAGTGGCGTTTGTGTTGTGTGTTTCGTTGTTCATGTCCCTCTTTTTTAAAGTCCCTCTCCGATTCCGACCTCAAACGAATTACATCATACAATATTTAGCGTTACACTGCTGACTTTTAAATTATTTCGTAGTTTAACTTTTTTGTATCTTACCTTTTTGTATTGAGGCACACGAGCTGAGGTGTGTTTCTTAACTTGAACTAACGTGTGTTGATTGATTGATTGGTTAGTCAACGAACAGTAGAATCTAAAGTCGTTGGAAATCCTTGGATGCGACTTGATGGCGTTAAGGACCATCTTGAGAGATCTATGGAGGAACATGATTTTCTGGGAGAGGAATTTAATTCTTTGAATCCTAAATTAAGTTAAGCGTAACTTATTCAATACTTTTTTATGTCATAAGGTACATTTTAGCCAGTAATAAACATATAAAGAAAAGAAACCAAACTTTTGTGAACATTTCAATGTTTAGTTTTAAGATGGTACTTGTAAGCACCGACGGGAGCGTAGGTCTTCAATATTGTCACCATGGAGGTACATTACTGGAAATGACATTCGTGAATGCAGTTCCTTTTGCCGTTGCAGCACAAATAACATCACAAAAGGAACATTTTGAATGTGTTTTAGAGTGCTTCTTTCCAATAAGACACATTTCACATCTTCCCTTTTCTGAAACAAATGTGGGCCAGTGAGCGCCCAGGTTCAGTGTCCTGATGCCTTCAGGTAGAGAATTCTTGTTTATCCTTCGTCGCTTTAGTTCGTTTAGTGATGATATCTTATTAAATGAAGGACAGCCTCTTTTTCACTGATCTGCTTCCCATAGCGACAAGTCTCATGGCCAGGTCACTTCGTAACTCCAGCAATGAGATTTCATGATGTATCTCCTTATACATTACATTTGCACTGACACGCGTCATTTTCATCATTGCGAAAAACAGTCTGCGCTACCATTTTTGATTGCCTACCATAATCATATATTGAGCACAGCATATCTGCTTTGTCCACTGCGCCCATGGCTGAATTGTTAGCTTGTACCATCTTAGATGCCACTACGTCGGCCACTGCTCCATTCTACTCGTTATGCCTCACAGTAATTGATTCACTTCCATGGTAATTGGAAAACAGATGAACATGCTTGATGTCTTTCCACTTGAAGAACACAAGTCATTAATATGCAAAACGATAATCAAAATTCTGATGAATAGTGAGGATTTTGGTATGATTCAGCTAATTCATCATCGCCACTCCCAATCAGCAGGCTTAAGCTAGTCTGGAAAAGCACCAGACGCCGGCGTTTCGACCTTCTGGGTCTCGTCACTGGTGCGCCTCCCAGCGGACCCCTACCGGGTTCCGTCCCCATGACTTCAGGATGCCAGCAGCTAGTGCCAGTTCGCCATGGTTGACAGTCGCGGACCTGCGTGATTGACAGTTGACTACGATATAACCCGGCTCATCTTCCACTGCCATGCCAGTTACGAACTGTGCAGAGGAAAATGGCTAGTCTCACGAGTTAGGACTTCCCGCATAGCGCCAATGCACCGCTGCTGGCATCCTGAAGTCATGGGGGCGGAACCCGGCGGGGGTCCGCTGGGAGGCGACCACTGACGAGACCCAGAAGGTCAAAACGCCGGCGTCTGGTGCTTTTCCAGACTAGTCTAAGCCTACTGATTGGGAGCGGCGATGATGAATTAGCTGGATAATCAAAATTGCCTCTCTTCATCTCCTGGTGCACTTAAAATTTAGGAAGATGTTCTGTTCGGACGGACACCACAGGCAAAACTTGTTCACCGGATGCTCAAA